CAAGACTAGATATAGCAGTCTTTAATCGCAAAGAAAGGAGAGTAGGGCGGAGAAGGCAAAGAGGAAGAAGAGAGATGAAAAAGAAAAAGAGATGAAAAAATACTAGGCCAAAGAGGTGGGGGATGGGCTTCGTGCTTGTAGGCAGATGGGGTCTGTTTTTGATGACATCTAAAATGCCTCTCTTTGTCTTCCTGTGCCTTGAGTCCCTCAATTTGTCCTATATACTTGCCGGTAATGCCTAATGTGGCAATGAGCACCCCCCTGGGATGGGCTATGTTGGTTCCTGTGGCCGCTCTAGTTTTCAGAGAGCGTCAGCCCTTTGAATGGCTCTGCTCAGGCCCTGCTAGGTTCCGCAGTGGGTAGGGTCGTCCCCGGGTAGGTGTCCGGAGCAGGAGTGTGGAAGTTAGAAATGCTCGTAACTCCTCAATAGTTTGATCCTTCAAAAAAACAAGTTCATAAAGTTGCAGCCTAATGTTTTATGTTTGCCCAAATGTTGTCTGTCTACCATGCGGGGGTCCCAATTTGTCATACCACCCCCTCCTTTCTCCCGAGCCCGCATACCTGTCCTGTCCGGTCAGGGAAGCACCGCCCCTCTCCCCTCAGTTGTTTCTTGAACATCTTCAATAATTAGATGTGTTTTCAATAATTAGATGGATGTATGTTTATGTATTATTTTGCTTTCTGATTGCCTCCAGGTAGATGTGATCAGGAGATGGGCTTTCCTTATCAATTTTATTATTACTGAACTCAGAGTAACTATAGCAGGTGTTGGCTATCTATCTGGTGTATAGCTGCTAGTATTGATTCTTGCCTGAATGGTGGGAGTTTATAGGATGTGATTGTAGCTTGGCTATATGACTGCAGTTACTGTTTCTTCTTGGGTAGCATAGGGAAAGAAAGAGCCCCCTGAAGGTAAAACAAGCACCAAAAAAACAAAACAGCAAAAAAAAAAAAAAAAAAAACAGATTGGATACTACAGTCTATAATTGCAGAAAAGGAAAAAAAATAAAAAGATCTGTAGCAAAATATGAGTATGACTTTAATGGCCCTTTCTTGGCTTCTTGCCTTCAAGGCTACCCGAGAAATTTCAAGATGGTACTGTTGTTCCTTATGACATAACTCAGGATTTAATTTTCAACCTGTTTCATTTTTAGTCTGTCTCCCCATCCATAGCCACATTCAGGATGCTTTCCTAGTGATAAACAGATCAGGGCCTGCTGTAGCCATTTGGGAGTCTGTTCGGTTTTAAACAGTGTCTTCCCCCTTCTTAGTTGTCTTTGCTGAGGAGATCCATGCACATACATAGTAAACCCTCCAGGGATGGGGGAATGTCCACTTGCTCAGGTACCCCCTCTGGTCACCAGAGCATTTATGAGTGGACTCAGACCTCCAACCTTTCAGTTAGAAGCCAAGTGTATTGGCCTTTTGTATCACCATGGGACTCTTTATCTAACTAGGTACTGGATAAATTAAGTATTAAATAATTTGCTTAACTTTTGTGGTTGAGTGTGATTTTCTGCTGTTATGATGCATGTTTGGATTACAATTGATTTTTGTTGTTTTTACCCCACTTGGGTGCATTCTTTTGAGCATGTTTCCCAAAGTGGAATCACTGGATCAACAAGTATGAACTTTCTCACAAGTATGATTATGTACTCCATCTACATTGTGCCAGAATATGTGATGGCTATGTACACAGACTAAGTCCAGCTTACAGTGCCCATCAACAAGATGTGAATGCACCTCCATAATGTTGCACCAGAATCCTATCATAACTATTTTATAAAAAAATGTTTATTTTATGTTGACTGTCTAGAAACTAAAGAGTTGGTGGCAGGACAGCAAGTTAAGACACTTCTATGAAAGTCAAGGCCTAAATAATAAGGATCTGGATTTGGGTAATTTAGCAAATAAAAATTTTTCATTAAACATTTGCTAAGCATCTAGTATGTGTTAGGCACATAACATTTTAGTACCTTATAAACTAAGCTTATTAGTATCTTATTTAATCCTTCAGTGCCTCTTTAAGACAATGTATTACTGTTCTTCATTATATAGGTAAGGAAACAGAGGCTTAACAAACTGATATGATACACCCAAGGTCATGTAAATATGAAGTTCAAGAGATGGGTTTCAAACATAGATTTCTTGAAGGGACTACTGGAAATACTACTAAAAAAATTATAGAGATGTTCCTCAAGAAAGAATGGGGGCACTGGGGGGTGGTCCCAATAACTTTAATAATGTATGTCTGTTCATAAGTTTTTTTTTTTTTTTTTTCTGAGTAACCATCAAAGTTCCTGGCATTGTTCTTTCTTTCTAGGTGATTGTAACAGTTTTAGCAAAGTTCGACCTCCAGGAGAAAAGCCAACCATCATCCGTCCCCCAGTGAGGCCTCCAGACCCTCCGTGCCGGGCAGCTACTCCCCAGAAACCAGATCCAAAGCCAAATATTGGAGCTGGCAGTGCAGAGGAGATCCCATCATCTGTGTAAGAAGGGTTTTTCCTCAAACATGGCCTAATGATAAAAGGTGTGACTTAAGCTACCAGGAATTCTTCAAGAGTTACCATATATAGTTATAAAGGTTGTACAGTGCACAACCCTGGGGTCATCATTCACTTCAAACTCTAGGGGAATATCACAGGTCAAGCCTATTTGTAATGTTACACTCAACACCCAGGGATGACAGATTTCCCTAAAACCAAACACTGAACCTTAGTAGCTGCTGTTACGATGTTAAGTGCTGTCTCGTCAGTTCCGACTCGTGGCAACCCTGTACATAGGGTTTCCAAGGCGTGGTTAGTTAGTTTGAACCGCTGACCTTAATATTCCAGTGCTTATCCTACAGTGCCTCACCAGAACTCCTATCACTGTATAAAGATCAAGGTAGCTAAGATGATATGATTTTAATCCTTTCAATACTTCTGTAAGACAATGTGTTACTGTTCTTGATTATATAGGTAAGGAAACTGAGGTTTAACAAACTGATATGATACACCCAAGTTCAAGAGATGGGTTTCAAACATAGATTTCCTGAAGGGACCACTACTGGAGACACTACCAATTTTATATGCCCTGATTTTATATGTTTTCTCGGCTCTAGAATTTTTTTTTCTTATTTTCTTGTTATTGCCACTGATTTTCAGAGCAATTTAATGAACTGATTTGTTCATTATTCTTGGGCTTTGAGGTTTGTACTTATTTATTGTTTTCAGCAAACAATATGATTTGTAAAACTCTTCGAAAATAATTCAGCTTCTCCAGAGAGCCCCTTATAGTAAAAGAGTTGAGCTGACATTCAGCTGTCCTGAACCTGGAATTAGACGTATAGCTACAATGAGACAGTAGTTCTCAGAGATCAATCTTGCTTAACCACAGCTAACCTGGTGGACCTCTTCTCAGCCAATGACTAGGACCACCATCTGTATACTGAATCCTGGGTTTCCCTTTTCTTGTGTCTCTTATTTTTCATAATTGTAAAACAGGGGCAGGAAAAAGAAGACCAAAGCCTCTACAGCTTCAGCTAATTGACAAAAATTATACTTTTAAATCATGGATTTACTGTTTTATTCCCCCATATAAGACAACATATTTAGGATTTCTGGTGTGGTGCTGTAGGTTAATGTGCTGGACTGCAAAGTTGTTTGAACCACAAAATCATTTGAACCGCAAGATTGGCAATTCAAGCTCACCAACTGCTCCTCGAAACCCTATACAGGGTTGATATGGGTCGGAACTGACTCTACATCACTTAACAACAACAACGTATTTAGACTGTCTAGACCAAAAGGAAGGCACTCTGATAGCGTAGTGGTTACAAATCAGGCTGCTTATCTCATGGTCAGCAGTTCGAAACTACCAGTGATCCTGTGGGAGAAACATGAGGTTTTCTCCTCCTGTAGAGATTTATAGCCTCAGAAACCCTATTACAAGGTCACTATGAGTCAGAACTGACTCCATGGCACATAATCACCACCACTTGACCAAAAGAGGTCAAAGGGTGTCAACCATGGTCTTAGAGTTGCCTGTGTATTTTGGGCCATTTCCTGTTCTGCTATTTGCATTTCTTTGCAGATGCAGATAATTTGCTAGCAAAGGAGGAGTGTAGCATCTGTTCTTTCCATTGGCCACTGGTTCTCACTAACATTCCAAAGCAATTCATGGGAGTTGGTTGTCTTCTGTTTTCAGGGTGGCTTCCAGGACCAGGTTCTTTGAAACAGCTTCTCGGAAAACAGGAAGGTAAGAGATACTGGTGACAGAAGAGAAAACAAGTCAATTTTTAAAAATGCATCATTAGCATCCAATTTGTTCTTACTCTAACATTTTATTTTTCTGTCTTTCTTTAGTTCTGTTTCTCTGTCTCTGTGTGTTTGTCTCTTTTTTTTTTCTTTGTCCTCTATTGCTGTATTTGTCTTTTTCTCTCAATTATGTGCTTCTCTTCCCTCTGTTAGTGTCTCTCTCTGCCTCTTTGTCTTTGACAATGTCTCTTTCATCCTGTTTCTCTGCATCTTTGTTTTTCTGTCTGTGTATCCCTGTGTCTGTCTTTGCATCTGTTTATCTATGTTTTATTCATTCTGTTTTTCTCTCCTTGTGTCCTTCTCCATTGTCTATCACTGTATCTGTTCTTTTACTCTCTTACTATTTCTTCATCTCTTTCTCTCTGCTGATTTTTCTCTCTTTGTCTTTCTGTCTCATAACACACATGTAAAATGCACAATCAAAAAAAACTTTAAACCCATTGTAGTTTTTATTTTTGTTACTTCACTTTTTTTCTTAAACTACTGATTTATTTCCTATATTCTAAAAGAGCAGCTGACTACAACCGACTAAAATAAGCACCCATCACTCATCTGTCAATTTGTCATACTGTGTGTTACTATGATGCTGGAAATTATATCACTGGTATTTTAAACACCAGCAGGTCACCCATGGTGGACAAGTTTCCTTGAAGTTTCCAACTAAGACAGATTGATTAGGAAGAAGGAGAGGCCAACTACTTCCGAATGTTTAGCCACTGAAAACCTTATAAATAGCAGTGGAATATTGTCAGATGTAGTGTCAGAATATGAAAACATTATGACTAGCACCTGAATATTGTCAGATATAGTGCTGAAAGATGAGCCCCTGTGGTTGTAAAGCTCTCAAAATACAACTAGGGAGGACCTCCCTCCTCAAAGAAGAGTTGACCATGGTGACACAAATGGTGTAAATATTTTATGACCTTCATTTGCTGATGGGAATAACTCAAAATGAGGAAAAACCATTGGAAACATCCATTAATAATTGGATCATGGGATATATGAAGTCTAGTAAAATTAGAAGCTGGCAAAATTGAAATAGAACGCTTTTATATTCTAGGCTTTAGTAAGCTGAAATAGACTTGTACTAGTTATTTTAAATCAGAAAATCATGTTTTACTATGCTGGTAATAAAAATTCAAGAGAAATGGTGTCACAGTCATCGTTAAAAAGAACATTTCAATACATGGCTGTCTGTATAGATGATAATACACATATGCCTACAAGAAAGGTTAGATAATACCACTATGATTAAAATTTATCAGAGCAAGGTAGAATCTCCACTGAGTAGTATCCAATCTGTCTAGGCAGGACTGATTAAAGGAAATGTGGATAGGTCTCTTGTGATGCAAGGGTGAATAATTGTTACCAGCACTGATTGTGAAGGTTGTAAATGTAAAAGTGGGCATTTTGTGGCAAGGAGGGGAATGATTAACTTTGCAGGCAGGAAGCAGAGGTCCCTGAAGCAGGCTTATAGGATGCACCCTTTCATTGATTGGTGATGCATGGAGGGGATTGTAACCATGGCAATGAAACAATATACGATAAGATGAATGTAAAACTAATGTCCTCCCATGTAAACTGCCACATAATTCACAATAAAACTTAAAAAAAAAAAATTATCTACCAAGCACTAAAGCCAGTGATGATGAAATTGAAGAATTCTACAAACTTCTTCAGTCTGAAATTGATCATACATGTAATCAAGATGTATTGATAATTACTGGTGATTGGAATGCAAATGATAGAAACCAAAAGGAATGATCATTAGTTGGAAAATATGACCTTAGTGATAAAAATGATGCTGGAAATCACATGATAGAATTTTACAAGACCAATGACTTACTCGTTTCAAATACTTTTTTCAAAACAACATAAATACTTTTTTTAAAAACAACTATACACATGGACCTCCCCAAATGGAATACACAGGAATCAAATTGACTACATTTCTGGGAAGAGATGGTAGAAAAGCTCAAAATCATCAGGCAAAATAAGTTAGGGGCTGATTGTGGAACAGACCATCAACTACTCAAATGAAACTTCAGACTGAAGTTGATGGTAATTAAAATAAGTCCACAAAAGCCAAAGTATGACCTTGAACATATCTTACCTGAATTTAGAGACCATCTCAAGAACAGATTTGATGCATTAGATACTAATGACCAAAGACCAGAAGAGTTGTTGGGTAACATCAAGAACAGCACACAGGAAGAAAGCAAAAGGTCATTAAAAACAAAAACAACAACAGGAAAAACAAGAAAAGACTAAAATGGATATCAGAAGAGACTCTGAAACTTGTTGTCCAATGTAGAGTTGCTAAAGTGAATGGAAAAAATGAGGAAGTCAAAGAACTGAACAGAAAATTTCAAAGGGCAGCTCAAGAAGACAAAGTCAAGTATTATAATAGTGAAATGTGCAAAGACCTGGAATGAAAAAACCAAAAGGGCAAAACACGCAGAACATTTCTCAAGCTAGAAGAGCTAAAGAAAAAAATTCAACCCTCAACTTGCAACACTGAAAGATCCTGTGGGCAAAATATTGAATAATGCAGAAAGCATCAAACAAAGATGGAAGGAATATACAGAGTAAAAAAGAAATGTACCAAAAAAAGATTTTTGATTTTCAACCATTTCAAGATGTACCATCTGATCAAGAGTTGATGCTACTGAAGGAAAAAGTCCAGACTGCACTGAAGGCATTGGCAAAAAAACAAACAAACACCAAGGCTGCAGGAATCAACAGAATACAAAGTGAAAGCTTTCAACAAACTAATGCAGCACTAGATGCACTTACTCTATGTTGACAAATTTGGAAGACAGCTAGCTATTTGGCCAACCAAATGGAAGAGATCCATATTTATGCCAATTCCAAACAAAAAGTGACCCAACGGAATGCAGCAATTATCAAACAGTATCGTTAATGTGACATAAAAGTAAATTTTTGCTGAAGATAATTTAAAAATGGCTGCAACAACACATGAACAGGTAACTACTAGAAATTCAAGCACATTCAGAAGAGGTTGTTGAACTAGGAGTATCATTTCTGATGTTAAATGGATCTTGGCTAAAAGCAGAGAATATCAGAAAGATGCTTATTTGTGCTTTATTAGCTATGCAAAGGTTTTCTACTATGTTGACTATGAGAAACTATGGATAACATTACACAGAATGGGTATTTCAGAACACTTCACTGTGCTCGTGAGACCAAGAGGCAATTTTTTAGAACAGAACAAGGTGATACTAAATGTTTTAAAATTGGGAATGTGTGTGCCAGGGCTGTATTCTTTTACCATACCTATTCAATCTGTATGCTGAGCAAATAATGAGAGAAACTAGATTGTATCAGGATTGGAGGAAGTCTCGTTAACAACCTGCAATATGCAAGATGATAAACCTTGCTTGCTAAAATCAGAGGACTTAAAATAGTTATTGATGAAGATCAAAGACCACAGCCTTCAGTATGGATTACACTTCCATGTAAAAACAAAAATCCTCATGACTGAACCAATAAACATCATGATAAAATGGGAAAAGATTGAAGTTATCAAAGACTTCATTTTGCTCAGATCTACAATCAATTCTCTTGGAAGCAGCAGCCAAGAAATCAAACAACGTATTACATTAGGCAAATCTGCAGCACAAGACCTCTTTAAAGTGTCCAAGAGCAAAGATTACAGTTTGAAAACTAAAGTGTGCCTGACCCACGCCATGGTATTTTTAATGACTTTATATTGTTGTTAAATGTCATCGAATCGTTTCAGACCCATAGTGACCCTGTATAGGGTTTCCAAGGAGCAACTGGTGAGTTTAAAGCACCGAACTTGCAATTCAAACCGACTTTGCAGTCCAGTACATTAACTCACAGTGCCATGCCAGGAGTCAAATAACCTCATATGTATGTGAAAAGTGGAAATATATGTGAAATAAGGAAAACCATAGAAGAATGGACGTATTTGAGTTAAGGTGTTGGTGAAGAATATGGAATGTGTCACGGACTGCCAAAAGAACAAGCAAATCTGTCCTGGAAAAAGTATGTCCAAGAATGCACCTTAGAAGCCAGGATGGTGAGACTTCATCTCTCATTCTTTGGACATGTTTTCAGAAGGGACCAGTCCCTGGAGAAGGACATCATGCTTGGTGAAGTGAAGGGTCAGTGAAGAAGTAGAAGACCCCAAACAAGGTTTTGGAATGGCACAGTGGCAATAGCAATGGACTCAAGCATAACAATAATTGTGAGGATGGCACAGGACCAACAGTGTTTCGTTCTGTTGTGCCATAGGATCACTATGAGTCAGAACAGAATCAATAGCACCTAACAACAAAAATGATATAAACATCCTTTGAGTAGTAAAGACTCATATTTCAGAGTTAAACATTAGATTTAGGCAGTAGCTAAATCAAACTGACTAAATTACCTGCGAATTTTTGAGGACAAAAAGCCATAGATTCTTAAGTGCCATTCTAGACCCACTAAAACTAAATATCTAGGAGTTGGGCCTGGGAATCTGTTTTCTATTTGATTGTTTGCTTCTTTTCCTTTCTTTCTTCTTTCCTCATGTTTTGTTAGTTTATTTTAAATACTCCTCAATTGCTAGTGTAGACTGCCTAGTACCTCGTTTTTGGGACTCTTTAGACTAGATCATCTGGATAAATAGTTTCTTTGCTTTCAGGGAATCTTCTGTGAATTTGTTCCATTTGCTCATAAGAAAGTTTGATATTGTGCTTTCTGACATGTGACAGCAATTTAAGTAACTCTTCTAGATAGCCAGTAAAAAGCAAAAAAGTGTGCCTTTACCTACAGTGGAGCTGGGGTAGATTTAACATCCATTACTCAATCAAAACTGTGGAACTAACTCTGCTTGGCAGTGAGATTCAGGAAAGCTTTGTAGTTGTTAGGTGCCATCGAGTCAGTTATGACTAAAAGCACCTTATACATAAC